ACTTGTGGCAGTGAGTTGGCAGAGGCTCCCACCTGAGCGGCTGACACGGACATGGATCCGTTTGCCAGCAGGTCGTAGCGCGGCGAGGCGTGGCTCATCGTGGAGAGCACGATGGCGGCGGCCATCGCCTCCTGATTGTAAAAGGCCGTCACTGCAGCCGGAATGGGCTGCTGTGCGACCGGACCCGATTGTCATTGGCGCGAGGGCGTACTCGGTGCAGAGGATCCCATGCCTCCGCTTGCGCTCTTAACGCTGTTCGGAGAGAAGGCCGCTTGAAGTAACTGCTTCTGCATCTCCTTCATATTTGACATGGTCTTCACTATACGTGGATCGGTGAGATCGTACACTGGTCCCAGGGTTGTGGGGCTGTTGTAGATGTACATGTTATTCGCGCTGTAGCCCAGGGATCCATTAACGTGTCCCAAGGACGATCTCCCTCTGTTCTGAGTCTTATTCTTGGGTTTTGGCAGGGTTTTCTTTTGTAACTTCGAGGCGGGAAAAACTCCCACGATCTCCACACCATCCGACTCACTGCTGCTCTCCCTGCCCACGGGTCTGGTTTGGGCCGCCTTGGAGGTGGATGTGATGACAGTGGTGGTGGCAGCCAGCTGCTTGGACGTCTGCAGTATTTCGCTGGTACATTGGTAGTCATCCAGATTGATCACATGCGGTGAGGGCCGCGCTCCGACAATGACCTTGGCCTGGCCGTCGCTGGAATGCGGACTGGGATTCCCGCTGGCTGCCAGGGTGGCGGCCGTTATCAGATTGTAAAAGTTGCTGCTGTTGTTAAGGTCGATTTTCCGGCTGGGGGAGGCCAGATCCAGAACCGTACTGGCGGCGGCAGCAGCAGCAGCATTTAGGGCCGCTGCTTGGGCCGAGGTGCTCGGCATGGAGAGCAGCGTGTCCAGGTGGGGCAGGTGGTTGTTGTTATTGCTATTGGCTGGCAAACTGACCGCCGCCGTGGCAGCCGGAGCCAGCTGGAATTGTGGATGCGGCTGAAGTTGCGGTTGCTGGGGTAACTGCTTGGCAACCTTCTTCTTCGGCGGCTTGTTGGTCTGCTTGGGCATCTCCTTCAGCTTGCGCTTCAGGCTGTTGGAGGAGGCACTTGTAGCCGAGTCCGTGTCGGAGTTTCCTCTAGATCGGGGCTCCTCCACTGGCTTCAGGTAGCTGATTGCCTGCGGCATTTGCTCAGGGGTACAAGCAACGGGAGCAACGGGTTTCGGTGATGCGGATGCTGGCGGTGCCTTCGGCTTCTCCTTTACTTTCAACTTGGCGTTCTTGTATCGGGATATTTCCCGGTTTAACTCATCCAAGCGCATCCAGCCGGTTGGCCATAGGTCCACCACCTTTTCCTTGAGATACAAACTTATGAACTCCTCCAGCGAATCCTTGCGCTTAGCCAGAAACGCGTAGGACGTCCAGCGAGCCTGATAGACATCGTACAGCAGATGGCGCAACTCGCTGGTCCACTGGAACTTCTTGCGTGGCATCTTGGGCGGCAGCTCCGAGTTCACGTCCGCCGCTCTAAAAACGAATAATGTAATATAGATAAATCTATACACTTTTTTCCCGTAAGATCTTACGCCTGTTCAGCGAAGGTGCGCAGTTCCGTTTCATAGTTGGCTATGGCCTTGGGCATGACCACAGCAACGGCCCGTCGCAGCTTCTCCAGCATATTGGTGGACTTCTTCTTCTCCTCCTTGGCACGCACTTGCTTTCCTTTGCGCAACATGTAGTACTTGGGGAGCTGCAGCTGGTACTCGATGTGGGAGAAGACCATATTGCGCTCGTTCCGATCAGTGCACAGTACCGCCTCGTACACTCTGGAGAGGTATGAGAATCAAGAGGATTTTCCATTTATACCAAAGCGGTATACTCACCTGAGTAGTAGAGGCGTAAGCTTGTCATCCAGGTTAAACTTCTTGCCGCACAAATCTCGACTCCTAACCGCTTCTTTGAAGCTGTTGACTGCGGTCAAAATGTCCGCATCCAACGAGATGGGCAACACAGTGTCGGCGGTACGAAGATCTTGAAGACAAAGAGAAGGTAGATTGGATATTATGATATTTACAATATCAACTAAGACATTGTGGACTTGATTTTAAACTCCAAGTATTTACTAGTTCTAATCCCAGTAGGATTCTTAAAGTTGTAATAAAATAATGTTTATTAGTTTTCCTTATTAGAAACTTACTTTCCTGTCCTTCCTTGCCTGGTTGTCCGACCTGTCCTGCCCGTCCTTGGTCCGTGGCAGACTCTATGTCGCTGCTGTCGCTGCTGGACACGTCCGTGGAAATGCACTTTAGTTCGCCGTTGACGACGCCCTTGACAGCTGCCGTGCCGCTCTGCGACTTAAGGAAGTTGTCCCGCTTGGCCTTCAACATGTCCTTGACCGTTGTCGTCTTGACCACCTTCTTCAAGGCTTGCGCCTGGGCCTGACTCTGAGTCTGAGGCAGGGCTTGAAGCTGACTTGATGTCGGAATCTGGACCTGAACCTGGCCTTCTTCAGTATCCGATATCTCCACCGTACTGGGTCGCGGCGAATTTGAGGATGAGGAGGTGGTGATCGGCTTAACCGGTGGCTTCTTGCCGCCCGCCGTTGAACCGGAGCTGGGTTTGGACTTGCTCGTAACGATGACCTTTGGCCTTTTGGCCAGGGGATTGACTTTGTACTTGCTGCTGGATTTCGCCGTGGCAGCAGAGTCCTCGTCCTCGAGACTTTCACTCTCGGAGTCGTCCTCGGAATCGCTTTCGTCCTCCTCGTCGGAGTCGTCCTCGGAATCGCTATCCTCCTCCTCTCCATTGTTAGCATCGTTATCATCGTCATCGTCGGACGATGAAGATGAGCTTTCCGAGCTGGACGAGATCATGCGCTTGCGCGATCGCTCCGGCATTTTGATGATGGCATCTGTTCGCGTGGTGTAGGACTTCTTGGTGAGGTTCTTGAACTCTAGAGCGCCGCAGTTGATGTAGAAGCCGCCCTCAAGGGTTTCCGCCTCCTCCGGGATGATTTCGTCATACTGGAAAGGTACAGTCCAAAATGAATATATATTATTAGTATGTTAGCCGAATTCTTACCGCGTCCGTGTTGTCGATGAAGGAGTCAGACTCATCGTATCCCATTCCAATGTCCACGTAGTCGTCCTTTTTGCTCTTGCCCCTGCCTGTGGCATAGGAGTTGCCGTACTTGGCCTCCAGCTCCTTGACGATCCTCGCCACATCGTCATCGTTGTCGGCAAAGGGATCTGCGCCATTGCAAGTGGTGACCTGCTTCAGCTTTTTGGCCTTTTTCTGCGGGTTACAAATGTCAAGAATGGGTTTCGCAACTAGGAACCTAAGGAGTTGAGTTACCTTCTCCAAGTACAAAAGCCGGGAGTAGTTAAACTCGGGATACTTGTTCGAATCGGTCTCGAACAGGTCGAGCTTAATGCGAATGCACTTGGCGGGCTTGGTCGGGGGCTTGGAACTGTTGGTGGATCCGGCGGACGGAGGAGCATCCGGCTCCAGGAAGTTGCTGCCAAAGCGCGAGAAGCCCGCATCGCCCTGGAAGATCGAGGTGAGGGTGACGCGCTTGTGCTCGCCCCCTCTTGACATCTCCGGCGGGCAGAGTTACGGATTATCGGCGGGAGTGGGTTAATATGTTAACACTCCAATCGAAAGGGCCTTCCCGCCCTTTTTTTTTGAAAAGAGCCGCGTGTTCTCTGCCTCTCCCGCTCTCTCTCGCGGCCAAACAAAAACAACTGAGACGTCGCTGCTGCTCCTCCTCCTCCTCTTCCTTTCCTCGTGCTTCCTCTTCTTCTGGGGATGTCTGTTTTAGGTTTTCTGCACGTACACCAAGCGACCACAACCACTTAATAACCGTGGCAATTTCACTGCTAACTGCACTTGGTGGGCTCACAAATACCGTTTATCAACATAAACAAATAAGAGGACCTGCGCCGGATTGCAGATTGCACCACTTTAATCGCTGCCGCCCGCTTTGCAGCTGCATCCGCCAACCACGGCCACGAATAATTGTCACTTTTCTGGGGGAAAGAAAAAGTGGAAATTTTTTTTTTGGGGGGTTTCGAATTGGTGAGCTCTGCCGGCACGAAAACAACACAATCTTTATCAGCGGAACACCGGGGACCTAACACACTCAATCGACGGTATCATTGGGGACATTTAAACGATGGGGCCAAGCGCTTTTCGCACGGCCAAGAGCGCGATTCTTAAATTGTTTCTTATTAAAATCCTCAACGCTACATTCTCCGCTCCACCCCTCTCCTACGATCCGACCCTGCTTTTGGCTTTCGCAGCCGCGTTGCGCAGCACTGGTCGCGGTTTTCGCAAATTAAACGCGGTCGTTTACACTGCCCGCAGTTGTTGCACCACACCACTTTAATTTTCGATCTTATTCTATAATTACCTAGCTTTAATGGTTCGAGAACTTAAAAACAAAAATTTCGGCTTTAAAATGCTATATTTTAAATTTAGAATCACACTTTGTATATATGTTGTTTGGATGAACTCTTATAAGAGAATGTTTTTTTGTATTCCCAAGCTGTAGGAAGTCTTACAATATTGTCCTTGATCATATGATTGTAAATTAGTTCATGAAACCAGCACAAAATTAGTTTTTAAACGCAAAATTTTTTTAAAGGAGTATTGCAACTTTTATTTTCCTTTCACGGAGAAATCAAGATTGATTAAAGGTTCCGATCGCGTTTGTTCCCATTGCCATTTCAAATGCTTATGATGGTATAAAGAAAATCAAAGTACCTGGAAAAGCCAACATTTCATTAAAACAGCTAAGCAACCTAGAAGTTATTTTCTGGTTGCCGCATCAGTGCAAACTCGTTATAATTACCAGATATCTGCAAACTTTCCAAAAACTAGCCAGATCTGGCTGGAAAGCAGCCAACGCGCAGCACTGTCTGCAATGCATCCCTGTGCAGAGCGCACATTCCACACACATTTCAGGTTTGTTTTGACCGAATCGCGCCGCTGTGCAACACTGCCCGGGACAGCTGCTCGCAGTGGTGGATCGCGGGTGGGGGGCCATTTTTTTTGGGGCGACTCAGTATTATTTCGTTTGTGGAGCTGTTTACTTCGCTTCGTGGAAAGTCAAGTGCTCTTTGTTTAATTAACGTAAGTGCAAGTGAGTCGGAGTACGTGAGCTTGGGGGGGTATTACTGTGCGCCAGCTCCACCAAAAACCAAAAAAGAGTTGCATGCACAGAAATTGAATTCGGTCGAAACTGCAAGCTGTTATTATAACGGGAACGGGAACGCGAGTGGCTAGTGCTCGTTATCGGGTGAAAACGATTAGGATTGTGCAATTAACAAAAGTGTGCCGTGCTGCTCTTTTCACAACCCAATCCCCAAGTGGTACACACTCATACATACTAGCATACTTATGCTGCCTTTATGCTTGCAGCCCCCACTTTTAGGTCTTTATACATATACATATATATACGTATATATTTGTTCAACGAGTGCAAGTGACCGACGTCCAAAGAGCAACGCACGGAGCCCCGACAAAGGCTTCCCGCTTTCCAGTGGTCCGGCGACTTTCGCCGGATAAGTAACTCCATCCCAGGAGGAATCGAGCTGAACAAAAAGCCCCAACCCATTCCTAAGAAAGTGTCATGAGACAATAGAGGAACATAAAGAAAGAAAGGAAAAACGTTGAGAAGAGTGGAGCTCCTTTGTCGCTTCTCTGGAAACATAGGTGAGTAATACTACTCCATTAGTAGATACGGGGCCTTGTACTTGTAGCTCCAAAACTACAAGGGAAGTTGTTCAAACAAGAGACTACCATTATATGATAAGAATTGCCACTGCTTTCTTTTATCTTAGGTGACGTAGCCCAAGGCAAACACACTGTACACTAGATATGTTAAATTTATACTATTTGCAGTAGCTTTTAGAAATACAAACTTTAAAAATGTTATAAAAATGAAGTATTTAAGTGAGTTAAAAAAGGGTAGTCAGTTCTCACCTTTCTGGTTCGCATTGAAGGTTTCTTTAAGATAGTTTTTATATACGTGATTCACCTTCACGAGTGTCGCCCGTACCACTGGCGAAATGATAAAGACATTGAAATTCCCATTCCCAAATGGAGTTACGGCAATCGACCTTGAAACATGTGGCCAAAATGGTTTTTCCAATTTTCTATGAAAAGCTATTTTTTTTTTGGTAAATCATCCATTAAAGGCGGCAGCGGGTTTTTCATTTTAAATGGACTGAAGCCGCAAACAAAAATAAAGCGATACACATAAACAAACAACTGGCAGCAACAAGTGAGCGCACAAATTTAATTTGCTTTTAATGCGTCATTATTGCCAATTTGTGACATGCTCGAGTTGCTTTTCTGCTACGTTTTCGCCGATTTTTCGCATCCCCAACAGATATTTGTACGGTTCACTATCGTTATCAGTGATCGCAGACAGTGGTATATATATCTAAGATTTTTTTTGTATTATGTAAATTGTATTAATGTATTTAAGATAAACGTTTTCAAAAACAATTCTTACTTCTTCAAGCATTATCAGTAATCGATCACAGAAAAGCTTTTAAAAGTAAATAAGCGATACTTAACTTTTTATTTGATATAAGTTTCTTATTCACAGAAATGTAATCACACCGGGAGGAAAAAATAAATGTGTAATGGAGAAAAAATTTTATAAATGATAACGCACTTTTATTTGTTCATACTTGTTTTTTCATTATTTTTTTCATACATTGTTTAATAAAGTTTATTATCTTCATAGGACATCGGCTATATGCTATGACTATAAATTTATAAATTGTCTTGTGCAAACATATCATACACAACTGAGATAATCAAAAACACAAGTAAAATAAAAGAATATTTCGGTTCTGAAACAATCTAGAGCTACGACATGTACATATTACATACATATAATATTCGTTTCCACGAAGGAGGAGTCATTATAAAAAATTTAAAATTTCCCACATCTGAATGTTGATAAGAGCACAGAATAGTAATTGCTTTCAGTTTGAAACAGAATAGATCGTTGGCCGCGTCTTGATATGATCAGACCACATTTTATCTTTGACATATTAGTTTTTCAAGCGAACTTTCCCCATCCAACAGTCTAGTACAAAAAGAGCCGCTGGTGGTTGCCTTCACCACCCACTACAGATGTGCTTTTCCATTTTTAAAACAATGACTCATCTACGGAAATAAATTACATGAACTGTGTCTGACGGCCCAGAGTCATTACCTAGCGACCACAGCCCATCGATGATTTTATTATATAGTATTCGATTCTTCTTGGTCTTTTTCAGAACAGAGCGATGACGGAAAGTGTGGAGCTGATGAACAAGTACGGCGAGCCACTGCGCTACGACCGCAACTTTACGGGTCCCCGGCAGAAGGATCGCAGCTGCACGGATGTGCCCTGCCTGCTGCTCTTCGCCCTCTTCCTGGCGGGATGGGGCTATATCGCCCACTACGCAATCACAAGGGGCGATCTGAACCTACTGTTGGTGCCCACAGACTCGTTCAACCGGAAGTGCGGCATGGACTCCGGGGTGCTGAATAAGAAAAACCTATTCTTTTTCGACATGAATAAGTGCATTGATCCAATCGTACCCCTCACGGGATGTCCTACACCGCAGGTAAACTAAATGTTATTTAATTTTTAAACAAGTTTATTAACTCATTATTATAATTAAGAGACTCCATAACTCTAATTAACAAAGATTTAAGTAGAGTTATCAGAACTTTACTATACCATATAAATCTATAACCTTTTATGTCGTAAAAACTTTATGTTCAAATGTCCGGACGTTTACCCATAAAATTCACTTTATTAGTCAAACTCAGATACGCAATTATACTGAGTTATTGTTTCAATTTTTAATGCTACCAACGACCTTTTTTTTTAACAGGTGTGTGTAGAGACCTGTCCCAGACAAACTTTCGTATGGGACACAATGAAAGACCAACTCAGCTTCGAGGATTTGCATAGTCGCCTGATTTGCCTGACAGAGGAGCACAAGGCGAAGATTCGCACCAAGTCGGATATTGAACAGGCCATTAAGGATAATCAGTGTGCGCGCTGGTACATCAAGAGTGCTCCATTCCTCAAACGATGCCTCTTCGAGTTCTCACAGGGTGTGTGTGATTACATACCCTCGTTCCTTCTGCAGGGAGGAAGATCGAGGCGGGAGTTGCAGCTGCTGCCAGGGAACGCATCCACAGAAACCCAACTTCAGGCCCAGGTTATGGCCATGACCATGGCGGAGGCCCAGGCTCTAGTTGTTCCACAGGCAAACAGCAAGCAAACGCCAGTGGAGGAGGAACCAATTGTCCAGTGCAAACGAAGACTCAACGAGGCCGTTATCAAGGAGAAGATGATGCAGACGGACACGAGGTTGGCCAAGTTGGTGGGCAATATGGTGGCCCACTTCTACAATGGCACACACGACGCACAGCGTTTGGGTGAGGAGATTGTCGAGGATCTGGTCAACTCCTGGTCGATCGTCCTGGTGGCTTGTTTCTGCACTCTGGTTGCCTCACTTATCTATATCGCTCTGATGCGCTGGCTCTCGGCTCCGATCCTCTGGTTCTCCATCTTCGGTGTACTTATCGGCCTTTTGGTGGGCATCTACTACACAGTGAAACAGTACATTTTCTGGGAGAAGACGCCGACGGTGCCGCTGCACGGTTTGAATCTGCAATCCCAGGTGAAGAACGTCCTGCAAAACCAGAACACCTGGCTCTATCTGTCCATTTTCGTGGGCGTGTGCTTCGTCGTCATCCTGTTGCTGGTGATTGTGCTGAGAAAGCGCATACGGATAGCGATTGCCCTGACCAAGGAGGGCAGCAAGGCGGTGAGCAGTGTGATTAGCACCGTTTTCTTCCCCATCTTCTCCTGGATACTCTTCATGGCCGCCATAGCGTTTGCCATCGGCGTGGGTCTGTACCTGGCTCCATTGGAGATCCTTCGTTTAGAATGGTCCGTCAGTTGACGGAAAGTGGAGAAGTGACCACCGAGGATTGCATCTGCGAGGGCCCAGCAATTAATTATACAGTCGGCGGTTCTTGTGACCCGAATGTGTTCCAGCAAAGCTGCTCCGTTCGGCAGACCGCATTTTTCCAAACGCAGCGCATATCCTGCACGAAAACTACCTGCAGCTTTGACTCGATAGTCAATCCGTTAAAAATTAAGTGGGCCATCTTCTACAACGTCTTCGGCTTCCTCTGGCTGAGCTTCTTCATCTCTGCGTTTAGCTACATGGTGTTGGCTTCCACGTTCGCCCGATGGTATTGGACCTTTAAGAAGAGGGATGTGCCGTACTTTACCCTCACCAGGGCCTTCTGCCAAACCGCTTTCTATCACCTGGGAACGGTGGCGTTCGGTTCGCTCATCCTGGCTATCGTCCGGCTGATCCGTTTGGTGCTAGAGTACATCCATGAAAAGCTGAAGAAGTACGACAATGCGGTGACACGAGCCATCCTCTGCTGCATGCGCTGCTTTTTCTGGCTGCTTGAGACTTTCCTCAAGTTCCTTAACCGAAATGCCTACATCATGTGCGCCATCCACGGCAAGAACTTTTGCTCCAGTGCCGCGGACTCGTTTAACCTGATTATGAGGAACTTCCTGCGTGTGGTGACGTTAGACCAGGTCACGGACTTTTTGTTCTTTTTGTCGAAACTGCTGCTAACCGCGGGAGCGGGAGTGTCCACCTACTACTTCCTGGCCAACAATCCGGCCATTATTCAGCTACATTACAATGCGGTGCCCACCACGGTGGTGGTAATTGCCGCCTTTTTCATAACGAGTGTGTTCTTCGGTGTCTACTCGACGGCCGTGGATACGCTGTTCCTGTGCTTCCTCGAGGACTGCGAGCGAAACGATGGCTCCCCGGAGAAGCCCTTTTTCATGTCCAAGCAGCTAATGAAGATCCTGGGCAAAAAGAATAATCTTCCGCCGCGTCAACGCCGCGGGAAGTAGGAGATTCAGACGAGAAACGGCAGTGCAAATTATTAGTTAATTAAGATAAAAGATATATATATATATATATAAATATGTATTGAATCTAGCCCGAAATCGAAAGGGGTTGTGAGCGATTGCTCAACCGGCTGCAATAGGATTCGCATGAAATGCAGCCTTTTTTGCCAATACTCTTAATCTTTAATATAATGTATATAATACGCAAGTATCCATATGTAAAAGTTTTTTGTGCGGCTAGGTTTGCGATCGAACATGTGATAGGCGCGGACCATAAAGACCAAAAGCAATACGATGCAATACAATAATTTGTATACAGAACCACAAACGTACATATCTCACATTCATGCAGTTAAGTTATCGACATACTTATACAACTTTAATTATAATTTTTGAATTTAATAAAAATGAAGTTTTTTGAAGACACATTTTCTTTTTGGTTTTTGATTTTAATTACGATTTTTATCATAGCCATTTCATACATTTCGAACATGAAGACTACCAGGAATTATTATTTTAGTTCCATGTTTTATTTGTTTAGCAAATATTTCCGATTCCTTAATTTTCTTTTTTGCTTTTATTTATGAACAACTCAAACGCTCAAATCGTTCATCTCAGAAAGTCTGATTTTGATAGGGAGTAAAGACCGGAGAAGCCGTAATAAAAAACATTAGTTGTAAGGATTTGTGACTTTTAAAAGTATATATATAATAAACGCTAATACTGCCTCAACAGTTGTTTACTTATACAAAACTCGCGGACTCTACTGGCCGGAACCCTTGCCTACTTCTTTGCTGCTTGAAAAAATATTTAAAAGCGATAAGGCACCTTATACATTTTCAAACTAATACTGATTTAAATTTTAAAATTCCAAAAACCAGTTCTGCTTTGCACACCACCGAGACCAGTCCTATCGTTCTTAAAAATTGCAACATATTTATAGAACTTTTTTAAGTTCCCTCGAAACACAATTATTTTTTCAAATCGTGAGTTTTAAAAGCTTTGTGAATTACAAGCATTGTTCATTTTATAACTTTTTTGAGATGTAATGATGTAAAAATATTCAAATTTGTTTTATTTAAACTGCTTTAAACTGTTTTTTCACAAATAATTTACAAGTTTTCGTCGGTTGTTTTAATTTACCTGTCATAAAATAGAGCCTCTTTTTGAAACTCTACTTTGTTTGATGTTTTTTATTTTTTTTTTAATTGTTAAAGCTTATACATAAATACAAGTCAGTCAAACCTGGAAAAAAATGAAAATCTTTTTGAAAATTGCAATATTAATACATACGACTTTTAAAATAATAAGGCCAAACCCATGATTTAAGTTTGTTCAGTCTTGGCGTAGATTATTTTTAATGAAGTAATTACTTTGATATCGGAAAAGGTTCAAACAAAATCAAAAAAAAATTGTAATTTGATTGTATGATACAATCAGCATCCAAGCTGATTATCGAAAATCAAGGTCTAAGAATGGCACATGCGAATATATTTTACTATATTCGTCATCAAGTTAAGAGGAAAAACTTTGATAATTTTGTTTCTCCTCAGTATTTTTCACATTACTAAGAAAAAAAAGATTATATTTGAAATCCATTATTGAATCATAAATATTAGTCATTCTACATTTTTGGTACTTAATAAACAAGTCAATTTCAAGGACACACTTTAGAAGTCGCAGGCCAATAAAATCTAGCATACACATTTTTTTTCTCAGGATCATTAGTTATATCTTTATCTAAGGTCAATTATTTTTCAATTGAAGAGTAATAATGAAGAACGAGTACGGTCAGCCATTGACCTACGACAAAACTTTTCGGGACCCCGACAGCGGAATCGGAGATGTACAGATGTGCCATGCCTACTGCTATTTGTCCTCTTTCTGGGGGGATGGGGCTACATCGCCCAGTTCGCTTTCAGGACAGGCAACCTCAACAAGCTTGTAGCGCCCATGGACTCTTTAACCGGGAGTGCGGCGTGGACCCTGGTGTGGAAAACAAGTCAAACTTATTCTTTTTCGACATGACCGAATGCCTAAATCCACTCACACCTTTTACAGGCTGCGAGACACCAAGGGTGAGTAGGATCCCTAATTACAATCTCTAAAAGTCCAACTAGTAATATTGCCCCAAGTATAATGTGATAGTATTTGATAACTTTCAGATGAAACCCGAAATAAACTAATTATTTAATGTTTAAATATTTTTTTATAAATACTTATAAACAGGTTTGTTTGGAGTCCTGCCCCAATGAGATGTTTCATTATGAAGCAATGAAGAACTTTAAATCTTTCGAGGAGCTACACGGAAGCCTTATCTGCAGGACGGAGGAGCACAAGGCGCGAATTCACACCAAAACGGACATTGAAGAGGCCATTAACAGAATCTATGTGCGGGCTGGTACTTAAACAGTGTTCCCTTTCACAACCGATGCATCTTGAACATGCCCCTCAATGCTTGTGACTTAATCTCAACCCTGACGCAGGTCGGAAATTCCCTGCCTTCTGGAAAAGTTGTTGATGAAATCACAAATCGTATCACAAAGTTATGAAGAGCATGGGTCAAGAGTTCCAACGGCGGAGAATTGCCAATTGGATTTAGGAAGACATCTTAAAGGAAAAATGATGCAAACGGACACAGGGCTGAGCAAGCTGGGATGCAACATATTATTTTCTTTCTTCAATGTCGACAAGGAAGTGTGCGGGATATTGTCGAGGATGTGTTCAATTCTCCGTGCTTATTCTGCAGGCGAGCTGCTGTGCGCTGATCGCCTCACTGTTCTATATCGCCCTAATGCGCTGGTTCTCGGGTCAGATCGTGTGGTTCTCCATCTTCGGCGTGCTCATCGGCCTCGGGATGCCCCTTATCTACTGCATTATGCAGTATATCTTCTGGAAAAGGGCAACCAAGGAGCGAAAACAGACTACAACATGGAAAGTATTTTTAAACAGATTTTGCGTGACGAATACACCTGGCTCATCCTGTCTATCTTCCTTGGCGTGTGCTTCGTGGTCATCCTGCTTATAGTGATTGTCATGTTGAAACGCATTCGGATTGCGATTGCCATGATTAAAGAGGGCAGCAAGGTGGTGAGCAGTCTAATTAGCACCATGTTCTTTCCAATCTTCTCCTGGACACTGTACTTAGCCACAATAGCGTTCTCCATTTACGTGGGACTGCATCTGATTTCCATTAAAGAACGGTCTTTTAAGATGGTGCATCAGTTGGCATATGGAAAAGAAGCCTGCATATGCGAGGGTCCAGCTACCAACTACACAGTGGGTGAGTCCTGCAGTCCGGAAGTCTTTCGGCAGCATTGTTTCATTCGGCAGACCGGAGTTGACCAGCAATCACAAGTGCCGTGTTCGAATACCAAATGCAGCTTTGACGACTTTGTCTTTTCGCCTCTGATTAAAGTGGCCATTTTCTACAACGTCTTTGGTTTCTGCTGGCTGAGCTTCTTCGTTTCCGCCTTCAACTATATGGTGCTAGCTTCCACCTTTGCTCGTTGGTACTGGACCCTTAAGAAGCGGGATGTGCCATTCTTCACCCTCACTACAGCTTTCTGCCAAACTGCTTTCTATCACCTGGGAACTTTGGCGTTCGGTTCGTTCATCCTAGCTGTTGTTCGCATGGTCTGCTTGGTTCTGGAGTACATCAGTAGGAAGGTCAAGGCGCACGATAACTTTGTGACAAGGGCCATCATATGGATCATGCGTTTCTTCTTCTGGCTTATGGATGCTTTCTTAAGTTCGCCACTCGTAATGCTTACATCATGTGCGCCATCCACGGTCACAACTTCATCACCAGTGCCAAGGATTCTTTTAAGCTGGTTATGAGGAACCCGCTGCGTATAGTAACACTTGACATCGCCATGGGCTTCTTGTTCTTCGTTTCTAAGGTGTTGCTATCCGCTGGGGCGGGAGTGTCCACATACTTTTTCCTGTCCAATTATCCGGAAGCTTTTAAACTTCATTACAATGTGGTGCCAGCCATATTGGTAGCGATTTTCACAACCTTATAACCCACGTGTTCTTCGGCGTTTACTCTACTGCCGTGGACACGCTGTTCCTGTGCTTCTGGAGGACTGCGAGCGAAACAATGGATCACCCGAAAAGCCCTTCTTCATGTCCAAGCAACTTAAGAAGATTCTGGGCAAAAGGAACCATTAGAAATGTATTTTCCGGCCGGAAAATGTTTCATGTATTTGATGTAGCATTTTAATTATATTTTATACCTCATTCAACAACGCTCAACCAATAATCTCAAAATGTATAATTTTGCAAGACAGTAAATATAAGAAAAGCTCTAATAAAAACAGTTACTATTACCTGAACCGTTCTTGCGATTTTTCATTGACTTCAACTACAATATAAGATCTTTGAGCACACTATCGCTGATATTCTGCAGATCATCATCACCTCCGATCTGATCAAAATCGAACTTATGCGACACATTCATCGCATTCTGGTCGTTTTCCGTATTAAAATCTTGTTCGAACGGCATGAGTCCTGTAAAAAAAGATACGAAATTGTTATTTTTATTAAGTTCGATGATACAGTTAGTTAACAATGAAATCCCACTCACATTGATGGTTCTGTCGTTAAGCAAAAGACGAGGGGTATCCTGCTGTTGCGTCTCGGTGGGAGGTACCAACGCATCCAGTCGTCCAGATGGCGAGGTGCTCAGGTTCAGGACATTCCGAGACACTTTGAGGACCTTCATCACTGCAGCATTTTTGGCAACCAGCGAGCTGTTGTTTTCCGAAGTGCGCGGAATGCGTTCAATGCGGGTGCACTCGCTGTTGCTCAGAGGTGTAAAGGGGTCGCTGGGCTCTTCAGGTGAAGCCTGCGGCGAAATCACCGCTGCTACTGGCACCGGTGGCTCATCGAAGCCGAAAGAGGCCTGCATTTGTTTCCACTTGCTTCCGAGAGCGGAGAGGTTAGGCTGCGGTGCCGTCTTGATCTTGGATGTGTTCTTGTGAATGGTGCGCAGCATTTGGATTGGATCGTTTATCTTGGATCGGTTTAAGGTGCCATTCAGATCAATGCCCGCCGACTGATCGAGGACTTTCAGCTTCCGTGCTGATCGGGGTGGCGCAGGTGCTGAAATGGGCAGATCGTTAGGCTGATCAATAGAAGATCAATAATCACTTCATACCAAGTAAACTGTTGCTTAACGCATCAACTGTTTTTCATTGAAATCGTCCTGCAGTGCAAGACGTACTGGAGCATTGCGGCCAATCCCGCCGCTAAGTCGATCTTGATGGGAGGAGTGGAAACAAACTTGGAGCTAATAACTGAATCAAATCTTGGCGTGGCTGGCTGAAGCAACTGTCCCCTGGCAAGGCGCTTCCGCTGGCGTTTCCCCTTTCCTTCTTGGTCGGCTCATTCAGCTTTTTTAGTAAATTGTTGAGCTGGACCTCAGATTGGGTCAGCTCCACGCGAAGTGCCTGCAAATCAGTGGTGACAAACGCATTTGATTCGTTGTAGTGGTCGTTTGCATCCAATTGCTCGGCAATTGGGCCGCTGACCCGATTGAATGCGTTTACGAGGGCTTCCATCTTGGAACCACTAAAGGATCGTAAAAGTCTGAAAAGGAAGTAAGTTCTTTTATAGAGGCTGTATGTCCTTAACCGATTATCTCCTACCACCTTCTGTGACAGGTCACAGTCGAATAACACCCGCATGCCCCGCAAAGCCTTGTCTACCGCCTCCTTGCTCTGATTATGCTCCGCCTGCTTGGACTGGAAAAGATCGATGGTCTCTTTGAGCCCACACAGAGATTTCTCCAGGTCTAATTTCCTTTCGGTGGGTTGGGTTATTACCCGCTCCACGCCGAGTGCAGCGTTGGCTTCGAATTCATCTAGGAAACCATCGTCCACTAGTTGCTCCTCGGGCACACCCATATCCGCAGATAGATCACTTGTCAGGCGTCTGATCTTTGCGTTTTGTGCCGCAGTAGGGCCGTGTTCTCCTCCAGATTGGCAACATAACCGGAGGCGTACTCCTTCATCACGGCATTTTGGCGGGCCATGACTTTGGCACACACATAAGGTGTTCCCGCCTCCAGGCCAAGTGACTTCTCGCGCTGTTTGATCAGCTCCTGGATCACAAAGCCCACGAATTCGAGCAGGAAGTTGATGAACCTCATGCCACCGGGCATGACCACCAGATAGGACTTGATGTTGGCCCAGTGGAGCTGGTGTTTCTCGTTCAGATGCTTTAGGTACTCCACCGTGCTTGACCTGAAGTTGGCCTCCGACTTCTTGTCCGTAATGGGCCAGAAGAAGCGGCGCTTGAACTCCGCCGGATCCAGCAGTCGGAAGAGGTAGTGCATCACGTGGACGAAGGCCACCTGATTGGGTTTCAGGAACATGTCCCAGCGACCAATTTTCGCAACTCATCCGGCAGGGGATGCACCAAAGCCAATCCTTGTAGCTTCCTGTGCAGCTTCTCGCTCTGCTCCTTCTCTTCGGCCTTCCAGGGCGCGATGGTTGTGCGATCCATACTCTTATTTAAGAAATATTACATTTATTAAATTAAAACAGAAAGAATATATGGCGGTTTCGTTTGAAGTTTTCCCTCGGTTTTTTGTTTTTTTTGTGCGTTCCAGTGTTACCAGGCGGACTTACACAAAAATTAACAATTTAAAAATAAAGCGTTCTCACTACATGTATTTGGCGCCAAACGCCAGTAAAAGAGATGAATTTAAATTATAAATTATTTATTGTTGTTAATACCTATCGACATACCAAAAGTTGCGATAACAAAAACTTATTAAAAAAATAAATGTTAAAGATTATTCATTTGTCAAAGGCTGCATGTGCTCAAAACCATTAAGTTAGTTCCCGATTTTAATCTAATGCTAGCTTTATAGACATAGATAAAAACTTATTTTATATTTGGATAGCAAACTAGTCGACTATGACGAGATACTCGACTTTAGTGTTCCTCCAAGTTGTTTTCAACGTAACGGGCTCCCGGAAGTAATAGATCATGATTATGTGGATTGTGTGGAAATATGTAGTACGCACAATCTTTCTTAAATTTCATGGAAAATTGTTGTTGTGTTTTAAGATAATAACTTAACTTAGGACAATAAATTAAAATAAAATTCACAGTTCAGCTTAGAACACCATAGAAGCCACACGTATCGTTCCGTAAAACTTAAATTAAATAAGCAAATAAGTTATACACTGTAGAAAAACGATTAAGAGCACTTTTTCATCTTGTCTTTAAACACAACACAACATATAAAAAAAAAAAAAAAAAAAAAAAAAAAATACTACTAGACTCTAAAATCTAGACTCGAAAATGTCTCAAGTCTTAGTAATTCAAATCCAGACCAAAACTGATTTAGTCGTCAAGCTTGTTTTTTAATTCTATACTGCCTTTTCAGCAATGACGAGTTGATTAACCATAGCGACGAGAAACGAAGCTTCACTGATCTGCCTGCTTGTGTCTTCTCTTTCTTGGAGGATGGCTATATCGCTTATTACGCCATCACTCATGGAGATCTTACGCAAGGGATTCCTTCAAGCGAGTGGCAGATCAATTCTGATAGCCTACTATTGACTTAGTAGTTTTATCTGTAAGATGTGCTCCGAGGTACCTTTTCATATTATTACTTTTTTTTTTTTTTTTTTTTTTTTTTAACATTTGTCTACATATAAAGTAGCTCGAACTGATAGTGTCTATGCCGGATGGTTAGCTGCTTCCAAAAAGGCGTTCCCTTTCCTCAACCGATGCATTCCCCAGATCTCCCACCACGAATGTGATTACATTTTCGGAAACGCTTCCTGGGATGCCAGTTACGAAAAAAAAAGCCTTGGCACTCTTTATGCTCTTCGTGTATGAAACATTATCTCCGGTTGATAGCGAGCAATCGGAGGAGGAGGCTCCGATTGACCAGTGCAAACGCCGGCTCGACGAGATGGTTCTGAAGGAAAAAATTATTCTGACAACGGAGCGGCTTGGAAAGATGGTGGGCAACTTGGTGTCTCGCATCTACACCCACGATGCACAGAAATTTGGCAGGGATATTGTTGATGATGTGTTCCACTCCTGGAAGATTGTGCTGACCGCCTGCCTCTGCACGCTGATCGTTTGCTTCCTGATCTTCTTGGTTCTGGTGATTGCGCTAAGGAACTACATCCGGAAAGCGATTACGCTGATCAAAGAGGGCAGAAAGGCTGTGAGCAGTGTGCTTAGCAGCGTGTTCTTCCCCATCCTCACCTGGATGCTCATCCTTGTCGCCTTAGTGTTCGCCATTGTTGTGGGTTTGAATCTGACATCCATTGGAGATCCTTCGTTTAGAAAGATGCGTCAGTTAACGGAAAGTGGAGAAGTGTCACCGGAAAATTGCACCTGCAAGGGTCCAGCCATCAATTACACAATGGGTGGATCCTGTGACCCTCTAGTGTTCCAGCAAGAGTGCTTCATGCAGGACGGAAAGTCGTTGAGAGCACCTTGTTTGAAAACCACTGGCAGCTTCGAGAGAATTAATAACCCTCCTATGGTCAAGTGGTTACTATTTTACCACTTCTTCGGTTTCCTCTGGCTGTGCTCCTTCATCTTCGACTTCAGCTACATGGTGTTAGCTTCTGCCTTCGACATCTGGTACTGGGGCGATGCTACGAAAAATCCTCCCATCCTCATCCGGGCTTTCGGCGAGAGCACTTACCACTTGGGAACGGTGGCCTTTGGTTCTCTTGTGTTCAAGTTCGTTTGGATAATCCGCCTTGTTCTCGGGCTTATCTATGAGTTGCTGGAGAATTTCGACAGTGTGGTGACACGGGCTATTTATAGATGCATCGTCACCATCTCCGTTCTAAATCCGAGCGCCTACATCATGTGCGCTATCAGTGGCAAGAACTTGTACAGGAGTGGCATGGAGGCGTCCAAGCTAAAGGATTCCACCTTGAGTGCGGCGATTCCAAGGAATGGAATAGCGACCTTGTTCTTTTACTGACAGGATTATTATTTTTGGGGGCCGAAGCGGCCACCTACTACTTCCTGAAACATTTTCCGGACTTTGTTCACTGCACTATATATCATATAGTGGTAGGGATATCCACCTCCCTTAACAATTACATTCTTCAATGTCTACTTGACGGCCATGGACACAATATTCTGTGCTGTCTCGAGGACTTTGCAGAAAACGATGGATCGCCGGAGAAGGCCTACTTCAAGAGTAAGGGTCTCATGAAGATCGTGCACTTAAAGAACAAGAGTGTAGAGAAGGAAAAAAAAGCTGAGCATTAAGAGTGCAATTAATAAATATCTATCAGTCCTATTTCTGTTTTATTGTTTAAGTTCACACTTGGCGGTTTCATTTGAATTTTTCAGCAGTTTCTTTGGTGTAGTGTTACCAGGTGGCATAAGCAAATCAACATTTTAAAACGAACCGTTCTCACTGCAAATAAATATCAATAACTGTCTGCCTGTATTAATTAAAAATTACAAAAATTACGCTATAATTCTCCACAAGCATATAGTTTTATGAATTTGGTACTTGTTAATAATTTGTGTTTTTTTTTTAAGTGAACCGGATGGTATTATTTGACAGACCTTTAACGGTCATACTCCATAGTTTTCTTTTGTCGTTCGGTTGCTGGAATTTTTTTGACGAATTTATATTTATTTTTAATCAATTGGTAATTATTGGTAAACGTTAATATTTAAGGGGCACCTTAACAAACCCAAAGTTCTTGTGGTAAAGCCACACCTTGAATTTGGTGACCTTTTAAGAGCCCGTAAACCTTGGCATCCGGGTCCAACGTAGCACTTTCTTTTTGTCTGCAGCGGAGAAAAATCAATATATGTATGGGGTATAGAAATCGAATCTCTGCGTATATAGTATAGATTACAGATATCGCGATGGGGACGAGTGGACGTCCGCCCTAACGATAATCAAATCTGCCTGAAAATATGTACACGACTCGTCGCCAATCTTTCAAAGAAACCGAGATTGCCGCCGCGGTTTTGGGCAATACATATGAATCATTGGGTTCATTGGGGACATAGTACATATACATATATATATTCTGATTCAGTGTCGCTTCTGTTTTCGCAGACATCGGGGATCCGGCTGCCACAATGGGTTCGCTGTTCCGGAGTGAGGAAATGGCGCTATGCCAGCTCTTCCTGCAGAGTGAGGCGGCCTACGCCTGCGTTTCCGAGTTGGGAGAACTTGGACTGGTCCAGTTCCGAGATGTGAGTAGTATGGATTACATAAAACTGCGGCGGAAAAAACAGTACTGAAATACTAGACCCCCAGACCACAAACACAAACCCTACCTGTTTATGTGGACTTAATATTCCATGAGACGTTTCCTGCGATTGTAAAACCTATGACTCCCCCACTATATACATATACAAAGTTCCTAGTATATCTACGCATTACGTTGGTTTTTTATTTTACAACTAATCCAACAAAAATTAAGAAATGTAATGTCTTGAATTCCAGTGAATTTTTCTCGCCGCATAACTTTAATATTTTTGGTTCCCGAATAATAAATAACTTTATCTAAATCCACAGCTAAATCCGGATGTGAACGCCTTTCAAAGGAAGTTCGTCAATGAAGTGCGTCGTTGCGATGAAATGGAGCGCAAGTTGCGCTACCTGGAGAAGGAGATCAAGAAGGACGGCATACCCATGCTGGACACCGGGGAGAGTCCTGAGGCTCCGCAGCCCCGAGAGATGATCGACCTGGAGGTATAGGCAAAGTTACCATTAGCTGCTTTGCCAACCTTAATATTACTCTGTTTATTTATCCCCTGCTTGCTAACCACATGTTAACTTCTATGGCTTCCCTTTAGGCCACCTTTGAGAAGCTGGAGAACGAGTTGAGGGAGGTGAATCAGAACGCCGAGGCCCTGAAGCGCAACTTTCTGGAGCTGACCGAGCTGAAGCACATTCTCCGCAAAACCCAGGTCTTCTTCGACGAGGTAAGCAGCTGCATGAGCAATGGCTTATGGGTATCAGCTAACAAATCGCGAACGGACACCGCTTTTTCCAAATAACATATGGCGGCCAGAAAGGCGGCCAATAACTAACCAACTTTTCTAAGCAATAACCAATTTCCCAACCGACAACACAAGTGTGGCAGCCACGACTTCTAGTTACATAAGCAATCTCCTCCAGAACCACACACCAAAATGATTTCCCCCGACCACTCTGCACGAATCTCCACCTCCTCCTTCTCCGTTTCCAAAGGCAAACGATGTGTGCTTTACCCCTCAGTTTGAGTTTGTACAAATTCCGTAGTTGTGCGTTTGATATCAGTTGATGGTTATTGTTTTAATCGGAAGTGTGCCTGCGCAATCAAGAAGAAACTGGGGTTTCTGAAATTATGTAGAAGATCTTAGCTGAACTCAAATTCATTTTGATTTAAGTAAACTATGATGTAAAAAATGAAATTAAGAAAAGGTTTCAGGGACCCCGCTTTTCATGCTTGCTTTTTAGGGTCATTTCCGTATAATCCCCTTTCAATTGCTCTTATGTTCGCCCACACTCTGTTTATATATACCTAGATGTTTGTGCCACCTTATTGTTTAGTATTAAATATTTGATATTTTCTTTTATTTTATTATGCGTTTTTACGTTTTATTTTTCCATATCAATCAATACACAATCAATCAATCAACCACTCCCCGACCAAAAATCAATAAACCGAATAAAAAAACACAAAACCGCACACACCACGAACACCCAACCACAAACACCACCCAATGCCCTGCCCACTGCCGGTTGTGTGTTGCCAAAAGTCGGTGCCCACGGTGTACAAGTCGAGTGGCGCATACTCATCCAGCAAATATCGGCGCTATCCGCAGATGGCCGACAACCAGAACGAGGACGAGCAGGCGCAGCTGCTGGGCGAGGAGGGTGTCCGGGCCAGCCAGCCGGGCCAGAATTTGAAGCTTGGGTAAATATTGATGCGGACCTGGGACCTGGGACCCACGGAACCACGGACGACGACCAGAACATGGGGGGAAAACTAAACTCAGGCCAAGACCCACGCTCTCTCGCTCTCCTGCTCCTCTCACTCCTTGCTGTTTGTGTCCCACATCCATGTACAATTGATGAGTGTATTCCTGTGTTCCATGCGTTAGGCTATCGAATTGATTTCAAACATTAAGCACATACTCTACTTGTTTGCTCTGGTGTCGGTTTCCAAGCTATATCCAACCCAATCCAATAATCCCCCCCACATGCCACAAAAACTCCAACAACCACGATTCGGAGGCGGTTCTACTAATCTTGTCCTAAGTGTTAACCCCCAAGCTAACCCGTTCGTAAGTCGAGTGTCGAAATGACCTTTGCCCACCATTCACAATTTCTAGCAAGAAGGCGGCGTTAACCAAACCACCGAGTCGATGACCCGCGCCTTGATCACGGACGAGGCGCGCACCGCTGGTGCCTCCATGGGTCCCGTACAGCTCGGGTACGTATCCAGCGACCAGCATCCAAAACTGGGCAGGCGCACACTTGGGAAAAGGGCATAGCTCCACCAGCAGGAAAATGTTCCTTGGGCGAAGAGGTGTATAACAGAAAATACACTTTGTTCATTGCATTATACTTTAATAGATATAAGAAACATGTCAGGGTATATTCATATATTGCATAACAATCTTAAATGATGTAATGTAACATATCAGGTTTTAGATTTATCCTAAAATCTTAAACGTTCTACATTTCTTCTGTTTAAATGTCTATTGTACATATCCAATTATCATAGTAATATTTACAATATTAAGACTAGGCTATTCTTCCCGCCCAAGGAAGCTTTTACCTGTACATAATCTCTTTTAGCTTCTAACCAACGATATGCCACACAAAATTATTGCTTATTGCCGCCAATGCCAAACTAACCAAAAGCCAAAGCAGCTGCGCCGCCAAAGAGAAAGATTAACCGAACCATGTCCATTCATTCCGATCAACTTGGAGTCTCTCGGAGTTTCGAGCAATAATTTTCTGTGCAAGATCCCAAAAGAATGACACATTGAAGACAACTAAATTAAACGTCCTTCTCTTCTTATGCTCCTCTCTTCCCCAAACAAAAATATCCAACCGACAAAATTGTATTGAAAATATTTAGTTACATGGAGAAATCGAACGAACGTGAGGATTATCTTCCATGGTTGGTACCCTGCCCCTTCAAAAACACAAGACTAGGCCAAACAATCAGTCAAACTCGAATCCATTAGCCAACGAATGGCGCTCATCAATCGTATTGTATCGATCGGTCAATCAGCTGTATATAGAGCCATGTCATTAGCTTCGCTCGCCTCCCAGCACAGTCCCGCATCCCGGCCAGTATTCAGAGTGCTAACGTCTCACCCATCCAATCGATCCCACCCATTTTCTCATCCATCCCAAACCCTGCTATCGCCACGCGCGTCCATTGGTAACTTGTGCTTGAGAGTTTAGTTTTCCTTGTTTGTCGTAAATAACCGGAATGACTCTGTTGGATAGACCGTAGCGGAGATGTGTCACTAATCGCTGCTTCCCAATCCCTCACAGCTTTGTGGCTGGCGTCATTCTGAGGGAGCGACTCCCGGCCTTCGAGCGGATGCTGTGGCGCGCCTGCAGGGGCAACGTCTTCCTTCGCCAGGCGATGATCGAGACGCCGCTGGAGGATCCCACCAACGTAAGTCAGAACTTAAAAAGTAATAGTTATTTATAAACATTTAAATCGAAAATGATTCATTTGTTTACTTAATAAGCTAAAGCTAAATTACTTATTTATCATATTTATGATCACTTAAGTACTACCCTTCAGATGTCTTATCTAAATAAATAAAACCCAGCTTATCTTATCTATTTGCCTTGTTTAACAAAGTAGTTGAATGGTTAACAAATGTCTGGGTAGCTAAAATAAATTCATTTTGAAATAAAATTAATGTATCCATAGTTTAATTAAGAAACTCCTCGTATTCAAATATCGATCTATCTATTTTACTTATATATTTCCCAGGGCGACCAGGTGCACAAGTCGGTGTTCATCATCTTCTTCCAGGGGACCAACTGAAGACGCGCGTCAAGAAGATCTGCGAGGGCTTCCGCGCCACACTCTATCCTTGCCCCGAGGCTCCGGCCGATCGTCGCGAGATGGCCATGGGTGTGATGACTCGCATCGAGGATCTGAACACCGTGCTCGGCCAGACGCAGGACCATCGCCATCGCGTTCTCGTTGCAGCGGCCAAAACCTCAAGAACTGGTTTGTCAAGGTGCGCAAGATTAAGGCCATCTACCACACGCTGAATCTCTTCAATCTGGACGTGACCCAAAGTGTCTGATCGCCGAGTGTTGGGTGCCGCTGCTGGACATCGAAACCATCCAGCTGGCCTTGCGTCGCGGAACCGAGAGATCTGGATCTTCGGTGCCGCCGATTCTCAACCGGATGCAGACGTTCGAGAATCCGCCCACTTACAATCGAACGAACAAGTTCACCAAGGCCTTCCAGGCGCTTATCGATGCTTACGGAGTGGCTAGTTATCGGGAGATGAATCCGGCTCCCTACACGATCATCACCTTCCCCTTTCTGTTTGCCGTGATGTTTGGAGATTTGGGCATGGAGCCATTATGGCGCTCTTTGGTCTCTGGATGATTCGAAAAGAGAAGGGACTGGCGGCTCAGAAGACGGACAACGAGATCTGGAACATTTTCTTCGGCGGACGGTACATCATCTTCCTTATGGGCGTCTTTCCATGTACACTGGTCTTATATACAACGATATATTCTCCAATCGCTAAATATCTTTGGATCCCATTGGCACCTGTCCTACAACAAGTCGACGGTGATGGATAACAAGTTCCTGCAGTTGAGCCCGAAAGGCGACTACGAGGGTGCCCCATATCCGTTCGGCATGGATCCCATTTGGCAGGTGGCGGGGGCCAACAAGATCATCTTCCACAATGCCTACAAGATGAAATTTCGATTATTTTCGGCGTTATCCATATGATCTTCGGCGTAGTAATGAGCTGGCACAATCACACGTATTTCCGGAACAGGATCTCGCTGATGTACGAGTTCATTCCTCAGCTTATCTTCCTGCTGCTGCTCTTCTTCTACATGGTTCTGCTGATGTTCATCAAATGGATCAAGTTCGCAGCCACCAATGAAAGTGAGTTCTCTCTTTGTTGTTTCTGAATTTAGTTAACACGTTTTCCTGTATTTAGAGCCCTACTCCGAAGCCTGTGCCCCCTCGATTCTAATCACTTTATTGACATGGTGCTATTCAACACGCCTAAGCCACCGCCAGAGCATTGTGAGACGTATATGTTCTTTGGCCAGCATTTCATCCAGGTGCTCTTCGTCTTGGTGGCCGTCGGATGCATTCCCGTAATGCTGCTGGCTAAGCCGCTGCTCATCATGCAGGCTCGCAAGCAAGCGAACGTAAGTGTAGCCCCAACCGATGCACTCCATCAGTTCCCATAGAAAAAGAGTTCATTCACATCACAACATATCAACGCACATCGCACTCCCAGCTCTCCACATTATACTAACTGCTTCTTCTTTATTTGTGCTCCCGATTAACAAAATTACAATCCCCAAACCAAATCCACACCGAATAAACTAAAACACTCCAATCCACAACCCATAGGAAGAGGTTAGTCGTGTCGTTTGTGTTCGATGTTTGGTTGAACTTCTCTAATTGGAGATTTTCTAATTTAATTTCTTAATGAAATTTTAAAAATACCCTTTTTTTATGCTTTTGCCATTTAGAGAAGTTCGACTTTGGTTCTTCTGCATATTCCACTTTAATTCAGTCAATAATACCGATTGCTTTCAGGTTCAGCCCATCGCTGGTGCCACTTCGGATGCGGAGACTGGCGGCGTGTCCAATGGCGGATCCCATGGCGGTGGCGGAGGTCATGAGGAGGAGGAGGAGCTGTCCGAGATCTTCATTCACCAGAGCATCCACACCATTGAGTATGTTCTGGGTTCGGTTTCCCATACTGCTTCATACTCCGATTATGGGCGCTCTCTTGGCGCATGCCCGTAAGACATTGAGCTATAATCCATGGGATACTTATCACTAACTATTATAATCTGACAGAGTTGGCTGAGGTGTTATGGACCATGGTCCTCTCGATTGGCCTGAAGCAGGAGGGTCCCGTGGGCGGCATTGTGTTGACCTGCGTGTTTGCCTTCTGGGCCATTCTTACGGTTGGCATTCTGGTACTCATGGAGGGTTTGTCCGCCTTCCTGCACACTCTGCGTCTTCACTGGTAAGTGTCTTGGCCCATACATGACCCTAAATCATTTCTAACAAACTGTTATCCCGTGTTTTATAGGGTCGAGTTCCAGAGCAAGTTCTACAAGGGACAGGGATACGCCTTCCAACCCTTCTCGTTCGATGCCATAATAGAAAATGGATCTGCCGCCGCCGAGGAGTAAATGCTGCGGAATCGGATGGAGCAACAACCAAAGCACGTTGAGAGTCTCATTGCGTTATATGAAATTAACTATCCAAATAAGTGGAATTTACCAGTTACAGTAACAAAAAATATGTACGCTTTAATGTTCTATTGTCGTGAATTTATCTATCTATAGCCAGCAGCGTTAGATTGCTAATAATTAATGTTCTTAGAAGACGTTCTCGTGTTTATTAACTACACATGTAAACTCAAATAAATAGAAAAGGCTAACCCCACTGGGGTTGGCTATAAAAAAGGCTGGTTTTCTTGGAATGTTTATTGTCTATCAATGGGACATCAGTTCATTGATGGCAGAAACAAATTTTTTAAGATTTTCTGGTTGGTTTCATAGGGTTTTAGGGCTTTAAAGTCCAGGGAGGTTAGCTGGGCGTCCAAATCCGAAACTTTGCAATAGTACAGATATTTTCAGAGGCCAGTTGTTTGGCCAACTCAGTTGGTGATTATCCATGAGTGTGTCATTTATCACAATGAGTCCATGCTTTCGGTTGTTTAATATATCCATACAGGTTCCTGCTCCCGCGTGTCCAATAATTAGGTCTGCTGATTTGATATCCTCTATGTTTGGCCGGAATTTGTACTGCTCTATCTGGATTCCGTAGTTCTTACTTATCAGTAAGTTTCCTCATCCGTTAGCGGTTGCGAATTTCCGTGTTGTATAAGGAGTCTAGTGCATTTCCGGTTTTGCAGGGCTTTCAGAGAAGGCTCTGAAGTTACAGCTGATATAAGGGCATCGAATTTGGTAGTGCCCACAGTAATATAAACGATGTTTAAATGCATTTTTGGTGAGTAATTTAACAACAAGTCACAGCTGTTTCCAGTGCTGCTTCTTCTTCGGTTTTGCCATTCACACCGCTTAACTTCGTTCCACAACACTGGAAGAAGAAAACAATTTGTGCGACGGTAGCAACCCTGCCATGCAACTTGTTGCGCCGGTTTTCGATTCTACAGTCTTCCAGAATTCTCAGTTCTCAACCGTTAGGCGTAACGGTTGTGTGCGCGCGCTCGTTGGAAAAGTAAATAAAAACTGTGGTCCGTTTAGTGATAGTCCCTTGGCAAATTGCATTTTGATTTGTTCGGCAGCTCGGCCTTAGTTCAAGTGATTTGTTTACTTTTAACTCAATTAATTAGGCGTCTGCAAAGGCCCTACTGTGTGCGTGCGGCTGTGTGGGTGAACACAATTTGCATCGGTGTCGCGCCAGCATAACGGTAAAGGTGTGAAAGAGTCCGACAAACGGTTCCAGGACGGAGGTGAAACGGTAAATTAAATTATTCCCACGTTTCGAAGGCTACTTTTGTGTGGGTGATAAGTGCGTGTGTGTGCACTGTAAAAAATGGATATAGTGTTTTTATCAAACTGACAATTTAACATTAGTGACCCAAACTTAAAACCAAATGTTAGAATTTAGTAAACTATAAATAAATCAATTAACATAAAGCGGAAAAGGGAACTTAAGTACCTGACATATTACCGAAATATTAGAAATATTTCTTTTTTTTTTTCTCTGTCAGTGCCGGCTGCTGTTTGCACGTCGGAAGGTAATTGACTAATCAACACTTCATTTAATTTTGTTTTTATTTCTGCACCCTCTCGGTTTGTTTATTTTGCAAACGCTTTCCAAGTTTGCCTCGCATCTGGCAACGATTAATATAAAAAAACAAACACTTTCCAGACCGAAATGGTGGATTTTATAAGAAGCTCACACAGGACCAATAAATTTGCCGGTCCAAAACTTTCCTCCCCTTATGATCGCCAATTTATGATGATCTCTCGCTTATTTACTATCCAAATTTGTAGAAATCATCTGGTACTGGCCCAAAATTCAATTAGAGCTCCCGTGCAAATTAGCTGGAGGCCCAGAGATCTGTTTTTTTTACACCCCAACCCCATACCCCCAAAAAGAATACACACCCACACTTACTTACACACGCGTGGGCCATCACTCAACGGTCAATAAATTGCCGCTCTCTTGTTTTTTTGTTTTTTTTTTCAATGGGAGAGCAAAAAGTAGAGCTATTTAATTTTAATGTCTTAATCGTGTGTGTGTGAAGAGCCAATATTTACATGTCTTCTCCCCCTCTTTATTCTCTCATTGCTTCCTCCCCCTCCGCTTTACACAATGATTTGTCAATATTCACTTTCTCACTAACATACATCCATGTCCTTGTGTTTATTAATTGGCTACACTTGAAATAATATTTTGCACAAGCATCCTTTGAAATTATGCAACATATTGAAACTGACAAAAAAAGAGAACAACAAGATAGAAGTCATTTCTAAAACACTACCCTTTTTAAGATTATCAAAATCTATTTATAAAAAAATGTACAATCACTTGATCGTTTTAAATGGGTGATTTAAAGTGTACAAACTTTACCCATCGCCATATGCTGACACATCGCCAGCGGCTTACACGCAGTTTATCAATGAAATATGGCTATAAATTGGATCCCCGACGAGCGACCCGGAGACCCCGGGGAACGGAGGCTGGAGTGGGCGGATGATGGTGGCATCGTATCATTTGCAGCCTTATTTTAATGAAGGTCATCGTGCCAGCGTCGGGGTTGACTTTGTACATAGTTGTCGGCGTTTAATTGCAGCAATTTGCAAAAACAGCAGCAGCCGAAGGAGAAAGAGCAGGGAGCCCCAAATGGAGGCTACCGCCGAAGCAGAAGCTGATCAAATTAATGCCATAACTCAATTAGCCGGCGGACGTATTTGCATGAACATATAAGTTGATTTACGACGGCTATGTTGCCCGCTCAATTTGTGCTTAAACTTTTGCCAATTGATAATAGCGCTGCTCTATGGGGACTTCTCGGTTGAGCTACAATGTGCTAAAAGAAATTAGCTTTTAGTATAAAGTAGCTCGAAGAACGAGTCCCCGGGGCCATTGACATTTTGATAAGAGTATCTTCATTAAAACAGATGCGATCAAAATAATAGAAGCGTTTGCCTGCTTAGCGTACAAATTCTTAAATATAATATCATTAAAAACTAGGATACAGGATTGCTGCCCAAAGTGCAATACTAATGCTTGAGTTGGGTATTTAAAAATAATTCCTTATTTTCTGGTAATAGTAAACAAACTTATTGCAAAATGCCATAAAATTGTGACCGTAGCTTTGTATATATTCACTTTTATAGTATAAAAACTCGCCTTATATTGATACGGGGACTTGGAATACCCAACGCATTCTTGGACAACCAGATATAAACTTCGGACAGAACTCCTGAATGGGAAATATCACGGATTTATATATGTATATTACTTTCGATGACGCCGACAGTGGGAAACTCCCTTCTCACCAGATTCAAGTAGATCTCCAACGCAGCTATAGCCGGTATACCAGTAAAAAACCTGCCAGGTGACCTAACAAAAGCTAGTTCTCAAGCTTGCGCGTAAACCACCCATTAATACTTTCCCGTATATTGAAAGTATTCAAGTAATTAATAAAATAATATAAGAAAACCCTACAATCTTAAATTCAAAATCATCTTAAAGCCCCCGGTTTAATCATTTTAAAAAGCTTCGGCTTAACAGAGTGTAACAACGTCTTTATTAGATCATATTTTCAAACTTAGTTAGCGTGTTGGATAATATCTCATTTTTGTCATTACATGAACAATGATTTTTTGCTTCTCGCTGTAAGCCATCCATTACTTTTCCCTACTGATGATGAGCTAATGAATAACTCACGATCTTGACGACCCCTCGAACAGCAAACTAAGCGATTTCCTACTCGAAAACTCTTTGCGCAAACCCCTTCCTGTGGCTTCCCTTGTCAACCAACCACAAGGACATGGCTCATGAGCAATTTACGCAATTTAATCGGAACACGAGATAGCCAAAGGGGTTGGTCCCGGGGCCACAGAAACCACTTAAGTGGAACCCCGAGATTGCAAAATGAGCAGCCTGCAGTTGGATATTATGTTACTTGTGTATGTTATGTATTAAACGCTACAGCGGAAGTGGAAGTGGTGTGTTTCTTCCGGTTCAAGGAATCCGAAATGATTTTTAAGGAAAAAGCGATTACCTTAGCTATTATTTTCAGTTTATAAATGAGCTTTCTGTTATTTTGTTCTTACATACAAAAATAAGTTCTAATTTAATTTAAAACTATTCATATTATTTTTCAGCCATCATGGTAGTCAAGGAGATTCCGCTTCACGAGAATCTAAGCATGGAGAACCGCTCCACAAATGCCACCACGCCCACCACAACGACCACTTTCTCGCGAGTGGGGCGTCGATATAGTGTATCCCTGACCACTGCCATCCTGCTGGCCTCCTTTTTCATCTGCACTCTACTTGCGGTGGGTTTCATTGTCTATAACTTTGCCACGTGTGCTGAGCTGGAGCCATCAGCCGACGAAGACATCGTCTGCACCAGTGTTCATCTAAGGAAGTTGAAGGCCGGACAAGATGGAACACCGAAATACGATCGGGATGTCCGTCTACCTCGTTCTATCCGCCCTCTGAAATACAATATCACGCTGGAACCGCAGCTCAGCGGCAACTTCTCCTTTGCCGGTAGTGTTCAGATCAGGATAAGGGTGCTGGAAGACTGCTACAACATCACCATGCATGCTGAGGAGCTGAACATCTCGCGAAGTGACGCCGCCGTCCGTCGGGTGCTGCCCGATGGGGAACTGGATGTGGACAGTCTGCGGATCCACAAACAGTATTTGGTGGGAGCCAAGCAGTTCTTCGTGATCGAGCTGTACGACAAACTTTTAAAGGACGTGGAGTACGTGGTGCATCTACGATTTGATGGGATTATACAAGATTTTCTGCAGGGATTTTACCGCAGTTCATACGAGGTGCAAAATGAAACCAGGTCAGTTTAGATAAATATTTAAAAGCTAACCTGATCCTTATTCACCATATTTTATGGCCCTTTCAGGTGGGTAGCTTCTACCCAGTTCCAAGCCACAGATGCTCGACGTGCATTTCCCTGCTTCGATGAGCCCGCCCTGAAGGCCAATTTTACCCTGCATATCGCTCGTCCCCGAAATATGACCACCGTCTCTAATATGCCCATTGTGTCCAGCAACGATCAGTGAGTGTTGCCTTTAAAATCCCTAGTATTACTATATTTAAACGTTATCTTTTTACCTTTTAGCGCCACTATCCCCAGCTATGTGTGGGACCACTTTGCTGAATCGCTGCCCATGTCATCCTATCTGGTGGCCTATGCCATATCCGACTTTACGCACATCTCCTCTGGCAATTTCTCCGTTTGGGCTCGAGCAGATGCCATCAAATCAGCAGAGTATGCACTGTCTGTGGGTCCTAGAATTCTGACATTCCTGCAGGACTTCTTCAATGTTACATTCCCCTTGCCGAAGATCGATATGATTGCTCTGCCGGAGTTCCAAGCGGGTGCTATGGAGAATTGGGGTCTGATTACCTTCAGGGAGACAGCGATGCTTTATGATCCAGGTGTGGCAACGGCTAACAACAAACAGCGTGTGGCCTCGGTTGTGGGTCATGAGTTGGCCCATCAGTGGTTCGGCAACTTGGTCACTCCGAGTTGGTGGTCGGATATCTGGCTAAACGAGGGATTCGCCAGCTATATGGAGTATCTAACAGCGGATGCAGTTGCGCCCGAGTGGAAGCAGCTGGACCAGTTTGTGGTCAATGAGCTGCAAACAGTGTTCCAGCTAGATGCCCTCTCCACATCCCACAAGATCTCCCATGAAGTATTTAATCCGCAGGAGATTACAGAGATATTTGATAGAATTTCCTACGCCAAGGGATCGACTATTATTCGAATGATGGCCCACTTTCTCACGAATCCAGTTTTTCGCCGTGGTCTTAGCAAATATCTTCAGGAGATGTAAGTTTTGTAAATCCATTCTGATATATATATATTAACAGAATTATTTTCAGGGCCTATAATTCCGCAACGCAGGACGATCTGTGGCGTTTCCTTACAAACGAGGCAAAGTCCTCTGGATTGCTGGACCACAGCAGAAGTGTCAAGGAGATCATGGACACGTGGACACTACAAACGGGATATCCGGTCGTCAAGGTATCGAAGCATCCCAACTCCTATGTGATCCGCCTGGAGCAGGTTCGCTTTGTGTACACCAACACGACCAGGGAGGATGAGAGTCTGCTCTGGTGGATTCCCATCACATTTACCACTGACTCGGAGTTGAACTTTGCCAACACCCGACCCACCACATGGATGCCCCGCACCAAGCTGTATGAGCTGGAGAACAGGGATCTCTCCACAGCCAAGTGGTTTATCTTCAATGTCCAGCAAACGGGTTACTACCGGGTTAACTATGATTTAGAAAACTGGAGGGCAATCACAGAACACCTTATGGATGTGAGACATTTTGAGGATATTGCTCCAGCCAATCGCGCCCAGTTGATCGATGATGTGATGAACTTGGCCAGGGGCTCTTATCTTTCCTACGAAACCGCGATGAATTTGACCCGCTACCTTGGTCACGAACTGGGTCACGTGCCATGGAAGGCTGCGAGCAGCAACTTCATTTTTATTGACTCCATGTTTGTGAACTCCGGAGATTATGACCTGCTCAAGGTTTGTTTTCAAAACTCATTCAACGTTCTTGCTAATCCATTGCAATTGTTTTTCACAGAACTATCTGCTAAAGCAGCTGAAGAAGGTTTACGATCAGGTGGGATTCGAGGACTCACAGGGTGAGGCGGAGAATATCCTGGTGAAGCTGAAGCGCGCCGATATTCTGGGCATGGCCTGCCATTTGGGTCATCAGGAGTGCATCTCTGAGGCCAGCAGGCATTTCCAAAACTGGGTTCAGACACCGAATCCTGATTCAAACAATCCGTAAGAAATTAATTTAATCTACTTAAGATATTTAGATCACTTATCTGATAGTTAATATTTATGATTTTGCAATGAATTTTATAACCAACGTTTATTTCCTTTGCAGCATAGTACCAAATCTCAGGGGAGTCGTGTATTGCTCTGCGATACAATACGGAACTGAGTATGAATGGGACTTTGCCTTCGAGCGCTTCTTGAAGACCAATGTGCCTGGGGAGAAAGACCTTCTGTTAAGTGCCCTCGGCTGCTCCAAAGAGCCCTGGTTGCTGTATCGCTACTTGCGTCGCGGCATCGCCGGACAACATATACGGAAACAGGATCTGTTCCGGGTATTTGCTGCAGTTTCCAGTACGGTAGTCGGCCAACAGATAGCTTTTGATTTCCTGCGCAACAACTGGCAAGAGATTAAGACCTAGTAAGTAGAAACACAGTCCTTTGTACTACAGATAGTCTTAATTACTTTTTGTATTTGCAGCATGGGCTCTCAGATTTCCAACATCCACACGCTGTTTAAGTTCGCCACAAAGCGTTTCAACACCAAGTTCCAGCTGGGCGAATTCGAGAACTTTGTAAAGGATGCCCACTGGGACTACGACAGACCCATTCAACAGATCGTGGAGCAGATCGAGACCAGCGTAGACTGGATGAACAAGAACTACAAGTCAATCGTTACGTGGTTACAGAAGGAGGCGCAGGCGTAAGGAAAGATTCCTGCGGCTTGGCTGGATCAAGGCTGCAGCAGTATTAAATTCCGCAGCTGCAACTGCATAGGTTGGGCCACCAATGCATTTATGTCTAGTATTTATGTCGCGTGTTTTACCAATTCAGTGTCGCCAAAGAGAGAAAGCCCTTGGCAGATCGTCCAGAGCATCACGTTTTTCATTACTTTTAATGTATGCCTTCTTTTCATAACAATTATGAGAGTCTTGTAATTTTAATTTGTACTTAAATGTAAATGTAAATGGAATTCAAACATTGTTCGTCACAAAATTTGTCTAGTCCTGTTTCACAGCTTGAGTTCGTTTGGGAACTCTGATCACATTTGCAAACATTAAGGTACCCACAAAGACTAGCACTGTACCAAGCCAGTGGTACAAGGTGAAGGGATTCCGGAAGTATATGATCGAAAAGACCAGCGAGATGAACTTGCGGAGTGTTAAGATCAAAGTAACCGTCAGTGAGCTGCATTCTGTGGTCAGAGTGTAAACAGAATTGATGCACAGATGCTGAGCTAGCACGTTTCCTATTAAATATAGTAGGATTAGGGGCACTGCCACGCCCAGAAGAGGCAACTGGTAGGACTCCCCTGCGAAGGCCAGGAGCCAGTGCGTCCGTATGTTATCCTGCATCAGCAGAAAGGCGGGCAGTGGCAGCAAATGGGTGTAATACAAAGCTTCCCTGGCACACTTGCCATGACGTCGGTACAGCAATTCCTGGGTAACGCCCATGTAGGATGATACAAATAGAGCCAGCACCAGCAGGAGCACGCCTACTAGCCACCAGAATACATCCGCCTTGGCAGGGCTATCAAGATCCTCCTCAGCACCTAAATCCGGGCTGGAAAAATACGTGCAGATGAAAATGCCCACGCTGATCATGACCACCGATATGTACTGACTCAGCCGGTAGCTTCTCTTCAGGATCAACGTGCCCAGGCACATGTTTGATATGAGGGAGCCTCCGCGGATGATCATGTGCAGCGTCATCGGGACATTGAACTCGAACACATAGTTGTTGCACACGCTGGTCAGGAAGAACATGGCCACCAGGAGCGCATAGTCGCGCAGACTGATCACCCGCTTGGCCAATCCAAACCTCGAGGTGAAGACAAAGCCCTCCAGGGCAATAAATGCAAACTGGGCGGCAGTTATCAGGTTTCCAGCGCCGGGATCCAGTTTAACTAGGAGCTCCAGGAAAACAACGCCACTGCAGCAGCCCAAAAAGACGCCGCAAGTGGCCAATACAGCGCGGGTGGATAAACTCATGGACTTTGATACTTAGACGGTGAAAGGTGACTATCCCCAGCAATTTTAACCTTTGATTTGGGCCATGGCGAGCTTTCAAGCCAACTTTCTTTTCGGCCATGAAAAAACGTAAACAAAGACCACAGGTGGTTATCGATAAGTGCCATCGCTGGCCCAGCTGATTTTGGTCTATCGAAAGAGCCGAGATTCAAATACTTAAGAATTTATTTAAAATAATTTACTTTAAATTCAAAAACCAATCTTAGACAAATATATTGCTTAATCACATTCGAAATATTCGCACCGACAGTCTTTCAGAACAATTACAAAATACAATGATGAATGATACAAAAACATACAAATGAGCTGCTTTTAATTATTTTCCTTTTCCAGCAAGGCGATAATTTTATTTAGCTTTTCCGTCTGCTGGGCTTCGAAATTGTCCAGTCTTTTGGCCACCAACTGCGTCAGCTTTTCGAATCTCATGTCTATGTGTCCTTTAAGGATTTCCACATCGGTGGTAGGAACAGCCTCCTGGGCTTTCACCTCCACTTTCGGGGAACAGCCCTTCATCAGGGACATAAACTGCTGGAACTTCTCGGCCTGCTCCTCCTTTTTTGATGGGCTCGTGCCGCCCCTTTGTAAAAGTTCCTGAATTATTTGCGGATCCACTGGTCTGGGCAACTGGGTGGTTATGCCATTGGGATTGGGAGCCACCTGAAGCAGGGCTCCATACACACAGATCTCGCTGGCCGAGGTGAGCATTTTGAGATTTATATCATTAATTCCGGACCGGTCGATCTCCATGTCATAGCGATAGGGTCGCACCGGAACCTCCGGATCCTCTTCGTCGACGCAGGTTCCGTATACAGTTTCGCAGTACTCCTGCAAGGGTCCAATGAATAGCTCCACCCTGGGAGCACTGCAAATGAGGGTAAGAGCTGCGATTTTGAAGCGGGTCTGGATTCGGAACCTCAGCTCGCATGGTGTAGGCTGCTCTGCGCATTGCATGGAGAACAACACGGCACGGTCCTCGTTTATAACATCGTCCAAATCGGGCCTGCGGACAAAGGAGGTTGCGAAATCACAAGATGAAAACCAGTTCTGGGCGTGGAATCCTTTGTCTCACTTTATAAAGACATCTTCGTCCGACAACCGGGTGGCCACCAGTTGATCCAAGCCGTTTCCCGCCATTTGGGACCAATTACAGCTGGCGGTGACCTTTTCGCACATGGTTTAATTTATCAAAGAGTAAAATTTAGAAAGATGATTTTTTTTAAATGTTTTCGTGCAACAGCGAAAACTAAAACAACAAACTAGTGATGGCAAAAGCGAACGATACAAATTGCGGGGGATGCTAACCTGTGGGAAGTGGTGAAGTGCAAACTTATGCGAAATTTTAATGGAAAAGTTGCAAAAGATAAGGAAAAGTTAAAAAAAAAAAATTAAATACATCCCAAAATGTAACAGAAACATGCAAAAGAATGTAATTAAAGGGTAAGTGATATATTATTGCAGTTAATTCAGAAGCCCGCCAAACGTTTGAAACGAATTTCTAATAAGACCATACTGAGTCTAATAAGCCCAGATTTTAGGTCTGCGTTTTGTTTTTAGCCGGAATGGCAATACCGCCAAAAGTGGCTGAAATGTAGCCAGAAAAATAATTGATATTCGAAGGACTTAAAAAGTTTACATAGTATAAATATTGTCCTAAAAAATAAATAAAAAATTTCATAAAAACGTTTTATATTTTAATCAAATATAACTTAAATATTAAAAAAAACAGTATCGATTTCAAAATGGAATGCCATTAATATTTCAGCCCAGCCAAAAGTGGCAAGAGTATAGCCAGACTAGCACCTCCAGTGCCCTCCACGGGCAAATTGTAGGTCAAATTTCAGCAGAAATTCACACATATTGCAGTCGGCGGTCGCGTGAAGTGTACACAATTCTCCGTAAATTAATTAATTCAACTAACATGGGCGGCAAGTACAAGATTGTGATGGTACGCCACGGCGAGTCCGAGTGGAACCAGAAGAATCAGTTTTGCGGATGGTACGACGCCAACCTTAGCGAAAAAGGTGAGGTGATTACATCAAACACAGTCCACCTTCCGTAATTCATACTATTTTCGGCAAAAATCTGAAAAGTTATATGTTTCTTGGCCCTAGTTGAAGGAAATTCAGATTATTAAGTTAAATGGAAGATTTCTTATCGTTTTAATCAAACTTTGCCTGCATATCTTTAAATAACTCCAACTTTTTTGACCTAGTACAATTAATTCTTGAAAACAAACTTCTTGAAGTGGAAAAAAAAGTTTAAAAAAAGAGTTCGAAGTTCAAGAATTCGCTAGCAACCTGTTATAAAGGAGTTGTAATTGTTAAAATCAATAAAAAGTTCCAAAATACAACGTTTCGGTATTTTTCCATTCCTTATCTCTATTTTTCTGAAGTAGTTTTAAAGGTTATCAATTTCTTTAAAAACCATCAGTCTGAAATAAAAAATTTTTGAATCACGGAAGTCCGTCTGTAGTTACCCAACAAGGCGTATACTTAATGTTATGTATTTTTGAACAGGTCAGGAGGAGGCTCTAGCCGCCGGCAAGGCCGTCAAGGAGGCCGGTCTGGAATTCGATGTGGCTCACACGTCGGTGCTGACCCGCGCCCAAGTGACTCTGGCTAGCATCCTGAAGGCCAGTGGCCACAAGGAGATCCCCATCCAGAAGACCTGGCGCCTGAACGAGCGCCACTACGGTGGATTGACCGGTCTGAACAAGGCTGAGACCGCTGCCAAGTACGGAGAGGCCCAGGTCCAGATCTGGCGCCGTAGCTTCGACACCCCACCACCACCAATGGAGCCGGGTCATCCCTACTACGACAACATTGTCAAGGATGCCCGCTACGCCGACGGACCCAAGCCCGAGGAGTTCCCTCAGTTTGAGTCCCTCAAGCTGACCATTGAGCGCACACTGCCCTACTGGAACGATGTCATCATTCCCCAGATGAAGGAGGGCAAGCGCATCCTGATTGCCGCCCACGGCAACAGCCTCCGCGGCATCGTCAAGCATTTAGACAGTGAGTATACTAAATATATGAACATAATATAGAATACTTAGAGGAGTAACGAAAATATTGCATTTTAAATAGATATTTTTGCCACCTAATGATATATTTAGACTTAAAATTGCATATATGAATGATCTTTTTTTATAGAAATTGAATTTTTTTATATACTTTTTTTTTAGAACCGAAATTTGAACTATTATAATTACTTAAAAAAATATATCAACTAATTAAGACTTACCTACAACTTATTCCAGATCTCTCTGAGGACGCCATCATGGCCCTGAACCTGCCCACGGGCATTCCGTTCGTCTACGAGCTGGACGAGAACTTCAAGCCGGTGGTGTCCATGCAGTTCCTCGGCGACGAGGAGACCGTGAAGAAGGCCATCGAGGCTGTGGCTGCCCAGGGAAAGGCCAAGTAAGCACGGAGGAGGCTTAACCAAATGAGAATCCACACAAATCCGGCACAAGTCAGAGCATTCTGATTACGCTTCTGTTCAAGATATAGCCAATACCATTCGTTGTTGTTGTTCCGCGTAGTAGTAATTGGTTCATCCCCACTACAGTTAATAAATAATTTATTATTACACTCAAGGACAGGCAAAGGCTTCGTTTATTATCAGGTTCACTTCTTCTTATTCTTCTTGCCGTCCTTGGCCAGCTCCAGGCCCAGGATGCACTTGGGCGGCACCTTGTAGGTTTCCGTAAGCAGTGTGTGCACAAATCGCACCTGGTTGCCCTGGATTTGCAGCTGCTCGTGCTTCTGGTGGGGAAGTTTGACCACACTTGTGCTGGCAGCGGCTCCTTGTTTGCACAGCTTGATGAACTCGGTCAGGATGATGCCGTACGCCTCGATATTGCTGACCAGCGTCACCTTCTTGTTGCCGGATCGCGTGGCCAGCGACATCTGGATCAGGGGCTTGCCGCTGGTGTCCTTCCCGCTGCACATCTGGTAGGAGTGCTCCATCTTGCTGGTGATCAGGGAGCACATCTCGCTCAGCGAGGCCTCCCTGTTGCCATACAGCTCGATGAGAGTTTCGTCCGGATGAACCAGCTTGGTTAACGGATGCATGAGTCCATGCTTACTCACGTACTCCCGCACAATCTTCTTGATCTGACCCGCTGGAATTCCCTCGCCTCGCTTAAAGTTCAGCTTGGTGAAAAAGGCCGCCGTCACGTCGGTCACTATGTACATCTCCTTCAGCTCGGAGTGGAATAGAGGCGTCTCGGACGCCGCTCCATTCGCCTCGTTCGCCTTGACATCGGTTATGAAGTTCACCACTTCCGGATGCTCCAGATCCACAGATATTATCTTATCCACTCCCTTGCTCTCCTCTCGCACCACAATGAATCCCTGATCCACCATCTCGGCCAGGAAGTTGGACAGTTTCTTGTAACGCGTTTTCTTCAGGTCGATTTGATCCGGCGCCTCAGTGACCACATAGAGTCTGTAGAAGTTACTGGTCAACAGAGGCAGGGGCAGCTTTTTTCCATTGTTCTTCAGGGCGGCTAAGAAGGCATTCTTGAGAATCAGTTCGGGTGAGGCTTCGTCTTCGACATCATCGTCGGATTCTGGGGTTTCCTGGTTTTCTAAAGACAGAGCAGCCGTTCCTGTTTCCAGTTCCTCTGTCTGAGTTACGGAAGCAAAGGTTACCGGAGCTGGAGCAGCAGGATTAGCCGCCTTTTTCCTTTCCGTCTCAGAACCAAGGGCAGGGAAATCCTCCCCAGACAAGGCCTTTGTCCTTACCAGCGGAATTTGCTGAACTAAACTAGGTTCGTGGGACCAGAGCTTATCCCCAAAGAGGTGAAGCATCTTGATGGCCACGCCATGACCTCCGCACATGTACAATTCGTCGCTGGCGCGAGCCAACTGGCCCAGACCCACCGCGGATTTGTTGTTTGTGAGGTTTACAGCCACTGAAATATTAAATTTACTTGTTAGAAAGCACCCAGTGAGTCCAAATTAGATACCCACTCAATTGTCCCTTCTTGTAGTGCCCGTACATGTTCAATCCTACGCCCAGGGGCACCACTCCGGGCAGCATGAGATCCGCTCCGTTCGTCAGTTTCGGAAGAACGCCTTCGTGGGTGGTGAAATAG